GCGTCCACACCACGCAGTAGGGGAAGCGGCTCCGCTCCACGTCCATGGCGACGCCGCCCGCGCTGCAATACTGCTTCATGTCCGTCTCGGCCGCCGTCTGCGCCTCCACTTCCGCCATCCCGGGCGGGGGCGGCATCGGCGGCAGCAGAAGCGCAGAACTCTCTTCCGCTTCCGCCATGCTGCGCGCGCCCGCGGCGCTCGGCCCAATGAGGTCACTTCCGGGGCCGTGGTGCACCCAGCGTGGTCGTCCCCCGGGAATCGGAGCCGCGTCCCGGCAGGCGGCGAGGGCCGCGGCCCAGACCCGGTTTGCGTCTTCCTGGCCCTTTCATTCCGGGCCCCTCCGGGGCCGGAGGGCGCTATGAGGCGCGCTCGAGTCTGCGGTGGCGCGCGTGCGGAGCGCGCCGCCCTGCTGGATAGGCGCGGGAGGACGCCGGCGTCCCTGTGCATGCCGCGCCGAGGCCGCGGGGCGGCGGGGCCGGGGCAGGAGGTCGAGCCTTAGGGAGTGTCTGGAGAGGCGGGCGCTGCAGTTCTGGGGGGCCTCGGCGCTTTGAACTCCCACGTCCACTCGCACCCGTGGAAGCCCGCGGTCCCAGTCCCAGACATCGGCATGCTGGGGGGTGGGGGTTGGTACGGAGCAGACCCCACGAGGTGACTGGCTTATTGAAAAATAGGATGAACGGAAGCTTTGTGGGGCCCTAACAGGTGGCTCGTGGGGGCGAGGGACGCCAGGGGCGGCAGCCAGCTCCGAGAAATCCGCAGGGCTGCGGCGCCCCGGGGACCATTGCGTGGATGGACAATAGCCAGCCAGTCTCCAGTTGGCCATATCTGCAGGACTCGCAAGGCCCACATTGATCTGACGGCCTCCAGTGGCTCCCCTGCACCTGCACAAAAACCAACGTATCTAGGGCCCTGTGTCCCTTTCTTGCTTGTTCACTGTCTGCAGCCACTGTGGCTTTTCTTCAGGTGCCATGCACTTCCATATCCCAGGGGTTTTGCACACGCTACTAACCACCCCCACCCCTGCGCCACACACTGGCCACCTTCCCTCCGTCCTTCAGACTAAACGTCACTTTCTCGGAGCTGTCCCTGATGTCCAGTGTGAATCAGAGAGCCCAGCGCCCTCCTCCACAGCCCACTGAAGCTATGGAACGCTGCCACTCCTGTGAGACTGGATACTCCCTGTGAGCAGCCTGCTGTCTCCACTCCCGCAAACCCAGTTCCTGGCAGCAAGCCCGGTCAATGGGAGGAACGCAGTTCGGGCATCATGTGCTGTTACCCACCAGGGCACATGGACCTAGCTTGTCACTCTTGGTGCCCATTGCTGTAGGGGCTGGTGGAGGTCAGTGGGCTCTGGATGTGGGACAGAATGCTCCAGCTCCCTTCCTGTGTCCTGGGCAGCTGCAGACAAGGGCATGAGGGGGGGCCAGCTACAGAGAGGGAAAAGCCGGCCTCTCGACTCCTCTCAGCTCTTCGAGGCTTTGGGTCCTCTGGGCCACTTATCTGCACTGCTCCTCTCCCACTAACAACCTCCCTGGGCTGTGCCTGTCCGTGACAGCTTCACTCATCTCCATCAGATATGAGCCTCCACTCCAGGCCCAGAGGCTCACAGCATGGCCTGGAAGTTATTCTTCTGCAGCCAGGACAGTATGGACAGGGTTTGAACGCCCCCTCCCCCAAGAAAGATGCTCACGGACACAGAACAGGATGGCCATCTGGAGCCTGGATTATAAAATGCTGCTTGTCTAAAGGGAGAGTCAGGACCATATACAGGTCCAGGGCTCACAAACCGCCTCTCTGGCCAGCTCACTCTGGCATTCATGGCCCCACAGTCTGGCCCAATACCCTTTCCAGGTTCCTTGTGTACCTTGGAGTTAGCCCTACCGGCCTGTTAGCCCTTCAGAGAAGGTCCCTGCCCACCTGGGCTGCTCCCACCTCACCAGGGCACCCCCCAACGTCCCCAGCTTCAGCAGCTGCTGCCTCTGCTCCCAGAGCAGGAAGCCTTCCTGCCTTCCTGCTATTGAATATTCATGTGTGCTTGTTTGCATTAGCTGTTTACAGCTGCCTCCCTGGAGACCCAACTCCTTTAGGGGCCTGGCTGAGTCTCTTGGTCCCTGTAGCCAGCAGCGAACTGCAGACAGCAAGCGCTCAGGGTTGCCACTGGGGCTACTGGTTGGCCACAGACGGTGTCTTGGCTCTGGGTAAGAATTGCTTCCATCAACAACCCAGGGAAGCCGAGCCAGGGGCTCCCACATTGCAGCTGGAGAAGCTGGTGGCATGATGCACTGTGGGGTGTAGGGGCACTGTTCCCCGGAGCCTTGCTGCTCAGCCATCATCACCACCTGTGGCCCTGGAGACAGGACCTATCTCCACAATGGCTCCACACCTTTCCATGTTAGAAGACCAGGAGGGCTGTACACTGCAAGAAACTTTGAGAAGAGACCTTCCGGCTCTTCAGGCATGAAGTTCACAAAATGACTTCCTTCCCCACTCCACTGTCTGGATGGGGAAACTTAGCCAATGTGGCAGACAGCACAGGTGGCACCAGGGTCTAGGTCTCCTATGCTGGGGCGGGCAGTGAGGCATGACGGTTTAAACATGTGGACTCAGGAGGCCACCAGCCAGTCCAGCTGTGTCAATAGCTGTCCCAGTTTCCGCATCTCTAAAATGGGAATCTGGTGGGAATCTTGTGCAGGTTGACAGACTATATCCATGCAGTGCCTGCCAGCCAATGCCAGTGATCAGGGCAGTTAGACCTGTCACCACTGGAGGACAGTGCCCACCTAGCATACTCAGATGTGTATGCAGCCACCAGGCTACGTGCAGTGCGGTAACCAGAACACATAGCATGACCACTGTCCTGCCAATGAGAACAGACCCAGAGAGAGGCAGGGGCTTGCTGAGGTCTAAGCTTGCATTAGCTAAAGTTGAGATCCTGAACCCTGACCTCTCGGCTGCCTCTGCTGGTGACCCCTTTTAGGGCCATCTGATGACCTTATTAAGACCATGACTTCTACATATAAAAAAGAGAGCCGGCTTCTGTAGCATTAGAGTAACCCCTGGGACCTGTGACATCAAAAGCCACATGGCAACCGCAGGTCTGGACTCCTGGGTCACCATGAACACACAACAGGCATGCAAGACCTTGAGGAGCTGGAGAGGGGACTTTGATGAGAAGACTCTGCCACAGATGCTTCTCTTGTGTACACCTGCCCTCTGGCAAAAAAAAAAAAAAAAAAAAAAGGCAGAAGTGGACATGCCTGCCTCTCACCAGCTCTCGTACTCCTTGTCCCATGGCGGGTTCTGGAGAAGGTGCTATTCCAGTGCTCAGGGACTGCACAACTCCCATACCTGCTGCCTGAGGTGCTCTGGAGGCTCCAGAGGGCCGGGACAGCCCGTTAGGCCTTTTGATTACGTGTTCAGCCCAGTGCCAAGTGCACAGCAAGAGTTCGAATTATCCTGACTTATTAAAATATTAAATGATTTTTAAGACCTGGATAAAAATCAGACTGGGGTCCAGTCCTGGCTTTGGTTTTACTCCCTGGGGGCCGCAGGCAAGCCCTTCCTTTGCTTGCCCCCTCTCATGGAGACAAGGTTAGACCAGTGGTTCACAGCAGAATAGATCTGAGTGCTTTAAAATAGTGGGTGGCTGTCTGGGCTCCAACTCTAACCCATTAAATAGTCTCTGGGGTGGGACATGGCATGTTGAAAATCACCCTGAGATTCTGAGTGCTCTCAGCTCCAGGACTCAAACTGTGTGGATGGCCAGGTGGCATCCAGCTGCCTTAACCACCACGCCACCTGCTGAGCCCTCCATCTTTGTTTTTTTTTTTTTTTTTTTTTGGAGAGGTTTTTTGCTATAGGGCATGTGCGCTCGCCAGGGAGACAGAAAGCGAGAAATCACCCCCAGGGGGGATGGTCACACCGCAACCCCTTCTCCTCCATTCCCCTCTTGGGATTTTGGGCACGCACATACACGCACGCAGTGTAAGTTTAAGCCAACGGGTCCAGGACTTGAACAACGGTCTACTACACAGGAGTCCAGCGACATAGCCATTACACTAACTGCTGGTCCCCCTCCATTCATCTTTTGAAGGACATCTTGGTTGCTTCACTTTTTTGGCAACTAAAAAGGCTGTTATAGACCTTCACAGACACGTTTCTCTGAGGGCTGCTTTCAGCTCCTTTAGGAGCACGACGGCCCGACTGTAAGCTACGAGTGTGTTTAGCTTTGTAGGAAGCCGTGGAGGGGCCTCACGCACTGGTGTCACTGCTGCTTTGATCCGCAGTTCCCTAAAGTCGTCATTGTGAGTACAGTCACTTTGCCAATTATCTTTGGTAGGGTCTCTGGATCTTTTGTCCATCTTCACATTGGGTTGTTTTTACATTGTTGAATATTAAGGGTTCTTTGTTTACTGTAGATACAAGTCCTTTTTTTCTGATACGTTTTGTAAATATTTTCTACCTGTCCTTATCTTTTTTTTTTCCATTCTTTTCACAGTATCTTTCATTGAACAGACATTTTAAATTTTAACTAAGTAAAACTTATCTATTTTTCTTTCATGGATTGAACGTTTGGCGCTGTGTCTAAAAACTCATTGCCAAGGGTCGGCAAGTGGCATCATGGTGAAGGCGCTGGACTCCCACATGGCCAACTGCGGTCTGAGTCCCGGGGATCTTGGGCACGCACATACACGCACGCAGTGTAAGTTTAAGCCAACGGGTCCAGGACTTGAACCACGGTCTACTACACAGGAGTCCAGCGACATAGCCATTACACTAACTGCTGGTCCCCCTCCATTCATCTTTTGAAGGACATCTTGGTTGCTTCACTTTTTTGGCAACTAAAAAGGCTGTTATAGACCTTCACAGACACGTTTCTCTGAGGGCTGCTTTCAGCTCCTTTAGGAGCACGACGGCCCGACTGTAAGCTACGAGTGTGTTTAGCTTTGTAGGAAGCCGTGGAGGGGCCTCACGCACTGGTGTCACTGCTGCTTTGATCCGCAGTTCCCTAAAGTCGTCATTGTGAGTACAGTCACTTTGCCAATTATCTTTGGTAGGGTCTCTGGATCTTTTGTCCATCTTCACATTGGGTTGTTTTTACATTGTTGAATATTAAGGGTTCTTTGTTTACTGTAGATACAAGTCCTTTTTTTCTGATACGTTTTGTAAATATTTTCTACCTGTCCTTATCTT